ATATCTTAAATGAACAGTTTAAAGAAGCCTTCTCGGAAAAAGTGGATACCACAGATGAGGAGTTTTCTAAGCGATGCAACATGAAGGGTGAATATCTCGAGATTGAAGACCTAAACATAACAGTAAACGGAGTCCGCAAGCTACTTAAGGGGCTGAATGTAACCAAAGCTCCAGGACCAGATAACATAACACCGAGGATTCTCAAAGAACTAGCAGATGATGTGGCCCCAATCCTTACTGTGATTTTTAATCATTCTTATCAAACTGGAGAGATACCAGCAGTATGGAAATCAGCCAACATCTGCCCCATATACAAAAAAGGAAAGAAATATGAGGCAGTGAACTATAGGCCGGTGTCATTAACATGCATCTCCAGCAAGATCATGGAGCACATCGTCACTAGCCACATCATGAACCATGCCGATTTTAACAACATCATATACCCATTCCAGCATGGGTTCCGTCGTGGTCTTTCATGCGAAACCCAACTTATAGAGTTCATTGATGATATCACTATCAATATAGACAAGGGAAAACAGACAGACTGCCTTATTATGGACTTCTCCAAAGCATTTGATAAAGTGAGCCATAGTCTCCTAATTCACAAACTCAACCATTATGGAATAAATGGAAAGACCAATCAGTGGATCAAAAGCTTCCTTACCAACCGCAGGCAAAGGGTGGTCGTGGAGGGGGAATCATCTGAAGAGGTGTCAGTAGACTCAGGCGTACCCCAAGGTTCGGTCCTCGGACCCAGTCTCTTTCTTTTTTATATTAATGACATGCCAGAGGGCCTTCTATCAACTGTACGACTCTTCGCTGATGATACCGTAGTATACATGACCATCACATCAGATGCAGATGCAGAGAAGTTGCAGGAAGACCTTAACCAACTAGCAGTCTGGGAAAATAAATGGCTCATGAGGTTCCACCCAGAAAAATGTAACGTGCTAAGCATCACCAGGAATCGTAGAGTCATCAAGAAGAACTATATCTTACATGGCCACCAATTAGAGCATATCCCTTCTGCAAAATATCTAGGCGTTACCATCTCGTCAGACTTGAAGTGGACTCAACATATAAATAACATCGCCGCTAAAGCAAACAGTACCATCGGCTTTCTCATAAGAAATATCAATATAAGTAATAGCAACATCAAGGAGAAAGTGTACAAATCATTAGTAAGACCAACTGTAGAGTATGCCAGTTCGGCCTGGAATCCTTATCAAAAGTCAGATATTAACAAAATTGAAATGATTCAGCGCAGAGCAGCTCGGTATGTACACAACAGATATCACAACACCTCGTCTGTGACCGAAATGCTCGATCAGCTGGAGTGGCCATCATTAGAAGAGAGGCAAAGGATAGCCAGCCTCAGTGTCATGTACAAACTGGTTAACAACAAAGTTCAGATTGACACAAGCCAGAAACTTAGAACACTAGACAGAACATCTAGAAACAACAATACTCTGGCATTCCAAATACCTCCATGCCGAACTTCAGTGAGGAAGGAGTCATTCTACCCACGTACCATCAAGGAGTGAAATGTCTTACCCACCTCTACTGTGATGGCACCGAGCCTTGACTGCTTCAAGGCTCGTCTCCGCCAATAAGTCACCAGCCTAATTGTCTATTTTTAAACTCACCTGTAAATAGACTTTCACATTATTTATTTATTTTTTTTTTTAAAAAAACATGCGCACACCTAGTGGCAAAATAGTCAGCATTTTGACGGAGGCCACTTACCAGTAGAAGTAGAAGTATTTCTACTTTTCCAAAATGTTGATATATTAGTATGCGGAACATTAATATATGATATACATATAAAATACATCCAATCACAATTAATGATATGTATTATATAATATGTCAAAACAAGGTAATTTTGCATTGTATAATTTTTCATTTGTATTGTATAATTTTCAATTTGCATTGTATAATTTTTCATTTATATTGTACAATTTTTCATTTGTATTGTATAATTTTTATTTGTATTCTATAATTTTCCATTTGTATTGCTTAATTTTCCATTTGTATTATATAATTTTCCATTTGTATTCTATAAATTTCCATTTGTATTGTATAATTTTAAAATACAAATAGAAAATTATACAATACAAAAGGAAAATTAAACAGTTATATAATATGTCAAAACAAGGTCATTTTTATGGTATGTCAAACGTTACAATATTCGATCTTTTCCATTTGTATTGTATAATTTTCCATTTATATTCTGTAATTTCCCCATTTGTATTGTATCATATTTAATTTGTATTGCATAATTTTCCATTTGTATTGTATAATTTTTTATTTGTATTGTATTATTTTTCTTTTGTATTGTATAATTTTTCATTTGTATTGTATGATTTTTATTTGTATTCTATAATTTTCCACTAGAATTGTTTAATTTTCCATTTGTATTCTATAAATTTCCATTTGTATTGTATAATTTTACAATACAAATAGAAAAGTATACAATACAAAAGGAAAATCATACAATAAAAATGAAAAAATTATACAATACAAATGGAAAATTATACAAAACAAATTGAAAATTATACAATACAAATAAAAATTATACAATACAAATAAAAAGTTATACAATACAAATGAAAAATTCTAGAATACAAATAAAAATTTTACAATGCAAATGAAAAATTATAGAATGCAAATAGAAAATCTTCGAATACAAATGGAAAATTATTCAATACAAATGACAAAGATCGAATATTGCAACGTTTGACATGCTATATTTTTTTCATTTTCACAGAACTACATGTACTACTAAAATTAACACCATCATATGACCATAACTAAAATCAAGATGATCAAACACCCCAAATAATGCATCTTTTTCACTGTCAAAACGTGAAATGCACAGTTAATTTTTCATATATATGTAGATATAACTATAAGGCAAATCGATCTCCTACCACCTGAAAGAAAAGTATTACCCCCCCCCCCCCCCCCCCACACACACACCCCACCCCCCAAAAAAAAAGAAAATCACATTTCTGATCAAGTCTGCTAAAGGTTTCTTTTATGATAAATTTTAAAAAGAGAAATTGTGAGCATCCAACATTTTAAAAATAAGGGCAATATTGCTTAAACGAAAAAGAAGCTTTTAATTGTCATTTTCTAAAGTTTGAATTTACTGGGTGGGAGTAAATACAAAATTTAGAACAATTCATTTACTCTCACCCGGTAAATTTAAACTTTAGAACATGACTTAACAGTAGTTTGTAGTATATGTATAGGGCATCATGTTGAAAGGAAACAAATGTGTTTGCAGGTAAGATTCTAAATCCTCAGACCATCACATGTACATATCTTATTACATATACAAGTCTTTACAGTCAGACCCATACATTTTCAATTATTCGGTGTTATTTACATATTTTGATTTCAATCATATAAATAGAAAATACACCTGATGATTTAAATTGTAGATGAATTTTATGTTAATTACAGGCATGTAAAAAGTTGCATCAAAGTACAAATTGCCACTTGTATTAAACACAAGAAATAATAAGTGAAAAATTAAACAAAGTTATTTTCACATAAAAATTTTAGAAAAGAAATAAAGATGATTGTGACAACCACATTTATTAATAATTCTCAATATGTCTTATGTAGATGTAGGTAATAGAAGTACTAGTAATATTACACAAACTTAATAAACTACTACAGAGTGAAGATGGACTCACAAAAACTAGTAAAAATGTTTTTAGTGGCTAGATTTAACAATGACATCAACAGTTGTGAAGCAGAAGCAATCCAGTCATTTTAACTAGGCAGTTATAATAGCATAACGTCTCTCTCTCTCTATATATATATATATCTATATGAGAGAGAGAGAGAGAGAGAGAGAGAGAGAGAGAGAGAGAAACACATATACATGTATATTATCATTAGAAAAAAAAGTTTTTTAAAAACCTCAATTTTTCCCCTATACAGAAAAAATATACATTGTATTAATTATAGAAAATGAGAAATGATATATAGAACAAAACCATTGAAAATGTGATTTAAAGAAAACTAAAATGAAATAAATGAAATTGGATAAAAGACTACTCAAAAATCACTGAAAATTCACAGTTCTATAAGTGTAAAAAATAAATTCCTGGGGGACACTACCAAACAATTTCATTTTGGGTGGACACTATCAAGCAAAATTCCTTGACAAGCAAAAAAAAAAAAAAAAAAAAAAAAAAAAAAAAAAAAAAAAAAAAAAAAATTTATATATATATATTCATATGTTCATATGTTATATACACCAAATTATTCATTTTACCAACAGTGAATTAATTCAGCAGAACCAGATTCAGTTCTCTATAAAACAGGAGAAAAACATCATATTGTTATGAATATGCTTCACAGTGTCATAATAAACAAAATTGTTGACAGTATTAGAAAACAATACCGGCCTCATCATGTAAAACACCAATAAATATTGCAAAATTAACAATACACAATAACATATCAAACATACATACATACATCATACATACATACATCATAACATCATGTCATACACATAACACAAAAACAAACATAATTATCCAAATTAAGAAACATTAAAATACAGATTAGACATATAAATTAATGGATTTTGAATTAAAAGAACCAGCACAACATATATGTATAAATTAAAATGGAAAAGAACTTCATTATATGTTGTGAAAATCACAACACTGTCAATATATATACTAGTATATAGTGGGAAAAAAACCAACATACATTATACATTATACTGAAACTGAATACTGTAGCAACATCATAAAAATACTGAAGGTATAAAATTATGAATTGTATAAGCATTCTTACGAATTTTGCTGATATATATATATATATATATATATATATATATAACATGTATATATATATATATATATATATATATATATATATATATATATATATATATATATATATATATATATATATATATAACATGTATATATATATATATATATATATATATATATATAGAGTGGTGTGTCAGTATCAAAAATAAAATTTCTATTATGAAATTGGTACACATAAAATTCTTTGGTCTTTTTTCCGTTTTAGAATACATGTACTGTATGATTTTGAGGCAAAAATCCCATTTTGTACATCACAATTGATAAGTATGGCTGATACAACTCATACAATAATACTTGTGATTTTGAATTCATAGGAAGACTATCCATTTAATTCACTCACAACAAATACTATAAAAATACTCTAATTAACATTGTAAAACTTTTAAAACAAATCATTAAATAGATGGAGACAAACAATAAATACATATCAAATGTCTCGCTCAATGTGACCTAAAAATAATTTAACCAAAAGGATTTGATGGGAAGCTCCCTGACTGGTTGACCTGATGCAACATTCGTTGTATGAAGGCATCCCATTTTTGTCGCCACAAATTCAAAGCCTTACTTTTCTCAACTGGGGTCATAGCACTATATCTGTAGCAGAAACAGAATACATTTATAACTTTCTCAGTACATTATTACAGATTTTAATGAGAGTAATTTATTTGTTACATTTATAGGGTTTTCAATATTATCAAGAATTTCTGGTAACGGTAATACTGTACAAGTATATCAGGTTAATCCCATAACTTGCTTTATACTTTGTAAATAGAAGAAAGCTTACTGTATAGAGTTTATTGCCAACTTTTTCAGAAGTCTTAAGTCTGTAGTTTCGCCAGAGAGTGCCATGAATGCCATGTAGAAATCATAGGACAAGCCTCGTGCGCCCCAAACCGCCGGGTCGTCTGCACTGATGACGACTGGAAAATCCTGGGCCACCAGTTCTGCTGCTGGGTGATTTCTGAGGTCGCTTAATAATAAAAGCACCTGCAGAAAAAAATCTCGGATATTTATAAAGTAAATAGAGTCAATGTAGCAATATTTACAATATTTTTGATCATCGTGTCGGGACACTGCATATGACTATTTTTTTACTGACAGAATCGTAGAATAAAGAGTGAATTTTTAAATTAAGAGAGGTATCTTCACTGATACCTGGTTCGAGATGGGGTTAACTTCTACAGCAATATTTCGTTCCTTCACCATCTTCATAACTTGTGGATGCTTGACCATTGCATAGCCATGTCCAATCCTGCTTGTGTTGAGAAGCACGGCGTCAATCAGGTTATTGTCTGTCGGGGTTCCTTCCCAATCTTTAAGTAATTTTTGGTGTAAAGCAGTTATTTTGTGTTATTATTTCCACGAAAAAAAAAACAATGACAACTCTACCTAAACACCATATGAATGTGTCGAATATTGAAAAACTGAGATAACTGCAATACAAAGTATACATTTACACAGTAAACAGGTAGCTCCTTACATAGCCTACACATGTATACTATGCCTGTTAGTCTATTTTTTGGAAACGCTAAAGTTAGCAGGGATGAGTACCTGTTTCGCCAGCATGGAAGAAATATGGAAGATCGACTGGTGGGGTTTGTTCTGATGGGTAGAGAAGAGCGTCTAGATATTTAACGAGTGGAACACCAGGATCTTCTTGTCCAACCAAATCATAGCCGGCAAAGTGATCTGGGTACAGCTGCCGATAATGTATGGCCTCTTTAACCTGATTTAAAATATCGATTTCTGGTACTACCCTGTAAGAGAAAGACATTACCGTTAACCTACGTGGTGCATAGTCCGAAATATCTGACGTTTTCCTGGTTTTTTTACGATTTGATATTTACGTGCCAGGAAAACCTGGCACGTAAAACATCAAATCGTAAAAAAGAAAACAGGAAAACGTAAGATATTTCGGACTACGTGGTGCTATGCTCGCTATTGCGTATTGAATTTTTTCAAATTTTAAATCGTTTTTTTTGTTTTTGTTTTTAGTAACTAGTTGCAGAATGCATGCTAGTAATTAATATGCAGTGACACTTTTAAGATTGTCTAAACTATATCAACGTTTGTAAGTGATGAGTTTGTGTTTTATTATAGTTCCCCGAATGCAAAAATAAGAAACGAGAGGTTGTAGAAAATCAATACAATATACCTTACCAAGCATCATTTCTGGTTTGTTTAAATTTCTTTGAACACAACCTGCTCCTTGCAATTCAATATTCAAGTGAGTAATGAATACATTGTACAATTTTCTTTACAAATTTATATGTCTTTACAATGTACAGTGTATATTTAGAAATGTTAACAGAACCAGTACCATAACCTAACAACGGTCTAAGAGAGATTTCTGAATTTCAAAGTCACGCAGAAAATAGAGTAAAATTTACTTAATACTTTATTTGAAATTCTAATTCCTTTTTCCTACCTTATTCCGGAATATATCATTTTTCCTCCACTGAACTCGTGTTTATGATCAGCTGTGAATTTTTCAAACAGGTCGTTGTAAGTCTTTACTACCCAATTCCTATCCTTAGTCGAGCCATCGAGCTCATATACCTATATATAATACATGTAATTTTTTTTTTAACTTTTACAAAATAAGCTGTAATAATTAAAAAATAGTTAAATTAAAAAGAAACAACAACATAAAACTAGGGGATCCAGTTCCACACATGTTCAAGTAATTCAGCATAACTAGTGCTTGTCCGCTATATGCTTTGATATACATACATAAAAATATTCCTTGAACATTTGATGTGAAAGCAGAATTTAATTAAATTGAAGATACACATGTACGTAGGAAGGTTCTATGAGATAGAGATATAAAATCAAACAGCAAAAGAGTTAAATCTTAAAAAAAAACCTCTGGAAAAAGTCCTCTGAATTCAAGATACTGGACATTGTCTAAATTAAATTCATTCAGGGCTTCGTAGAAATAGTCAGCAAACACTGGTGCATAGTTGATGAGGCCATTAGCTTGGTCCAGGGTGTGTAAAAATCGGACCCATACAGCATCAATGGTCGGATAGGCTTTCCTAGGATCAGGCGTAATTAACGACATGTTCATATAGAGCCTAAAAATCAAACAAACGTAGAAGGCATATAATGTAGTGCAGCATATCAGTGTTTTACTAGTATTCATTTATAGTTCATACATTGATGCATAGAACTTTGATAAAATTTCAAATAGTTATTGCAGAGCATTGCTGTATTTTACTCATACAGGGTTTTGCTGACAGAGAGGTACACTAACACTGATAAGAAATGTCAACCCTATTTCTTATAATAAAGCAAGAAGTACACGGACTGTAATAAGGAAATGAAATGTTTGCTAAAGATAAAAAGGCACGAGACGGAACCCTTCTTTATCTGTCGCCTTTTGTGCACAACATTGTAGCTATGGCTGTTTCCGAGTTATAAGCACATGCAATTGTGTTGAGTACACTAGTTGTAATAATTTATTACAAAAACGTTAGAACACTTACATTCGATCAAATTTCTCTACACTGCGTGCCTTTGCACGCTCAGTCTTTACAGATTTCCAAGGACAACCTACAAATATTGAAAGAGATATTTTAACAACAAATCCAACTGTTAGAAGCAGCTGATGGTTATGGTTTACAATTCATCGAGACAGCAAGTGGGTACATACCTCTAATTATTTTTAGAATCGGTAGGAGAAGAAAGTAGTGCAGAAAAAGTTACAAGTTCCTTAATTTGCAGACCTGAATTTAAAAAACTGTGATAATGTATTAAACTGAGCCTCATACTTGTTGATAAAGAGTATGTTCCCTTGCAAAAAAGCTTGGCAGATGTAATTTATCAAGAAGATCAGCAGAATTATTTTATGTATTATAACACCAGTGAGAAGTCTTGAATTCCCCTACTTTCACTTTCATTTTCAGAGGTTAACGCAGACAGACGCATTTTGCCGGAAAACGAATCTGACATACCACCTCGAGATTTTAACCAAGGAAAGACAACTTGATGTGCTTTGATTTGAGGGGTCACTCAATGCTGAACGAAAATTAGGGACATTGCTATGTGAAGAAACGTTAACATTGCCGCCTATGGGAAAACAATTAGTGGGCTGTACCCAATATGTTGAGCCTATTGGTAAGAGAAAATTCTCATAGATCTTTACTTTGTTTTGAACTCGGTGTTTACTATCATTTCCAATTGTTTAAATTTATGAAAGAAGCAAATTTTAATTTATTTATACATATTTTGAAACAAATCGATTTGTTACTTCCTCCCCCCCCCTCCCCCCCCCCCCCCCGGAACAGACAGCTTATGCACATATCGCCCATATTGTGTACACATGTAGCATGTAAATTAAATGTATCGATTTTATACAATTTATTAATTCAGAGCCATTAATAGATATTTAGAAAAGGAACAATTATTTTAAAAGTACATCCACCACTATTGTTTATTTTCAATACACAAAAATTCACAAATGAGGTCGGAATCAGTATTCAGTGAAGTTCAAGGTCAAAGTGAAAGTATAGTGGCAAGTAAGTTATCAAAACTGCTTAGTGCTACCTAGTGCAGAGTCTTGCAGTATGTAGGTGATATGCATTTGTCATTTTATGAAAGATGTAAAGAAAAAAAAGGTTTCCATGCCTTATTACAATAATTGTAAATGAAAAATTTATTTTCATGAAATAGAATGACATGAACGAGGACATACATGTGCATTCTTTCAAAGAAGTCTGTCAGGCTACAGTTGTGTAGAAGTTTTAAAGCAGTGTGTGCGTGAACATGCACAATACATTTTTTTTTATTAAATGCATTACATGTATTTGTCTAATGTATAATTATTGTCAGTAAACATGCTTTTTACCTGTATTATTAATTTACATGTAATTTAACAATGCTGAGACTAATCAGTGCAAATTCATAATTTTCAATTGATATCAAATTATGGGCATAAAAGTAATGTGGTAGGATTGTGTGTGTTTGTTGTCTGTCTGTGAATGCTTTAGGTGCTGATAAATTATTGTACCATTTTTTAAATTGATTTTTTTTTAGGTTCATGGTGATACAGGACAACTTCGAGGTTCATGCAGATGGTGTTTAAAACTATCAGTCAGTAAAAACAAACTCATTTGAACATATCTCGAGTCTTCACATGTAAAATGATGGCCGCAGTACTTTTAATATGTAAGTTGAATTTTCTAAAGCTTCTTTGTGTGTATGTGTGTGTGTGTGTGGGGGGGGGGGGGGAGGGAGGTGTAATTAAAGCTTAGAAAATGTAGATTTTAAATGAATATTTGAGCTATGAAAGTGACCATCAAACTAGTATGTACATGTATGCTATATATTTTACAGCTAATGTATTTTGAAAAGAATTTCAAAACAATTACATTCATAGTGTTGTGTATGATAAAATATTAAGATTAAAAAATATAAGAGTTGAAATTTCTTTAATATTTGTCAGTCAGAATGAGCAATTCATTTTCCTACAAATTACAAAATGGTTACCATGGAAACAAAACATTTTCTGTAGACTATTTATTTGATCTGCTCATGTAAGTATTTTTATTATTTTAAAGTTATAATGAATATTTAAGTTCTAATTTCATCTTTAATTAAAAGTACGGGAAAAGTAACACTACATGTGTAATAAGCAATCCATTATTATGATGTCATTATGACGTCATAGATGAGTGAACTTGCATTGGCGTAAAAATTGCTTTGAAACAGATGAATGTATACAAGAATGTAAAGGCTTATAACTTTTTTATTCCTACACCAATTTTCCTGAATGATACATCAATGGACAGGAAATAATGAGTACTTTCTAGTTTTACTACTTTCGGGGTATTTGTAAACTTAATTTTTTTTGTCAGTCATGGAGAAACAATGAATTCAAGGGTGAGGGATGATAAAATTTTGTGCAAAAATGCATTAATATTTTGAAATAAGAGAAATGGACCCATATGAGTGCTTGATTATGATTTTGCTTGATGTATTTAAAGTTCTGAAAGAGAATAAAAATGATATAAGTACATTAATAGGCTAACCGATGACTTCAAATTTGGGTGCAGTTGTGGCTAGATGGAAGCATTTTAAAAGGATTTTGCATATACAACTGTGTATGCTGTAAAATCTTTATTAATGATTGAATTTTCCTGAAATTTGGCATAATGTCACTACGTAGACTGTAGTATGACGTTTAATGTAAAATGTTGTAAAATCCAGAAAATACTTTTTCATATTGGGTACATACCTCTAATTATTTTTAGAATCGGTAGGAGAAGAAAGTAGTGCAGAAAAAGTTACAAGTTCCTTAATTTGCAGACCTGAATTTAAAAAACTGTGATAATGTATTAAACTGAGCCTCATACTTGTTGATAAAGAGTATGTTCCCTTGCAAAAAAGCTTGGCAGATGTAATTTATCAAGAAGATCAGCAGAATTATTTTATGTATTATAACACCAGTGAGAAGTCTTGAATTCCCCTACTTTCACTTTCATTTTCAGAGGTTAACGCAGACAGACGCATTTTGCCGGAAAACGAATCTGACATGCCACCTCGAGATTTTAACCAAGGAAAGACAACTTGATGTGCTTTGATTTGAGGGGTCACTCAATGCTGAACGAAAATTAGGGACATTGCTATGTGAAGAAACGTTAACATTGCCGCCTATGGGAAAACAATTAGTGGGCTGTACCCAAGTTTGACCACTACAAACCTGGGTTACTAGGCGGTGTACCACCAAAAAACTTGAAGTACACGGTGTAATTGACGTTAACACACATATAACAGTTCTCTCGATAGGTTGCATTCTTGACCAGCCAGTTCAGGTCCACCATAGAACAATCATGAAGATGAAGCGCCGCTCCTGAAACCAAAAACAAATGGTCTTAAAGTCTTATTCTGGGAAAAACCCACCAAAGTTCCACTCCTTTTCTTTTATTACCAAATATATACCAAATACCAAATATATATATTAACTTTTTTGAAGAATCATTTTATCATAAAAATGGGTGAATTCCATGACAAATAATATTTATATAAATTTTACTGGACAAAAATACGGCGCTGACATTAGAAACAGAAAAAAATCAAATATAAAATAGTCTCATGATTTGATATATAGGAATAGATTAGAAAATAACGTAATTCTAAGTATTTTTGTGCTGAAAAAAAAACTGTTAATATCTGTTTATATGCGAGAACTTTATTTTTTGCGTATTTAGTTTACGCAAGACCGTCTGCTTGCCAAAATTCCATTCTGGCGTATAATAATCTGATAAAGGATTATGATCAAAAAACAATATTTGCAAAAATTTTGTCTCGCTTAATAATACCAAAAAATAAGGTGTCGCGAAAATTTTGCGATCTATAGTACTGAATGAAATGTTATTGGGAGGGAATGTTTATTCAAATGCTAGTGCTTAAAAATATTTATTTCCGGAAAAAAAAAAAAAAATGCTGGATTGAATCTATTTCCCAGGACTACCTACTTTGAAATTAACAATTTATTTGCACAATGGTGTTTTTAAAGCGACAAACTTTGAAGAGCTAAATACCTTGCCCCGTTGATGTAAATAGAATATGTATACCTCTACATGTAGATATGCACTCCAGACAAGAAGAGTCCTGGAGAATGTGAAATTTTTAAAAATATAAAATGATGACCTGGATTATTTTCCATTCCTCTAAATGTGTAGTCGAGTAGCCCCTGACTTCAGAGGTATTGATGGTCCTTTACTGAAAACTTTGGAGAATGAGACAGAAGTGGAGACCATGATTGATACTTGTTATAACTCGTGTAAAGTGCATCTTTGTGTGAAAAATCCAGTGAATTTAATCACTATAGTTACCCTCTTACAGTATCATAGTAATACGACAATGATTCGCAGTGTTGTGTCAGGATGAGCACATTTCACTTCATTTTATTTAAATGACAGTGATGTTGAAACTCGTTAATTTTTTTAGTTCCCTTATCAGATATACACTGTTATATAATGACCTTTGATATTTAGAATTCAAGCACATGACATTTAATATCAAACACATGCAGACTTCTCATGGCACTATTACTCACATCGAGGAAGGTTATGTCATTGAAATTGCGATAAAAATAAGGGTCATTGTACATTTATGCCAGCCGAATCTCAGGTCTAGAATTGACTAAATATGCACAGATAACTGATCAGAAACTGTTGTATTTCTAATTGAATTAATTCAGTACAATCACGGGTAGTGTAAAAAATTTCATGTTACAAATTAAAAAATGCAGTGTTGAAAGATAAAAATTACAGTGTTCTGACGAATAAAAAAGAGGTCTTTCATGTATTTTGTAAAATTCGCTAATTAGAGATCACATATACAATATTTATAATTAATGTATTTTATTGATAATTGTTAACAATTTGCATTGAAGAACTTGTCCCACCGTAAACCGTATAACCCCCTCCCCCCGACAAGGGGGCTATAGGTTAATTTGTATGCAATATGCATTTTTTTTATATACTTATTCATCCGGCATAAGACACTAAACAATATTTACTTAAGTTTTAATTTCCAGAAAAGATTATATGTTCTTAAAGTACAAATATCACTTGAATAGGGAAAAAAGCCTTATTTTTAAGCTGGAATGATCGAGGAAACAAACTCTAAAGAGTTTGTCAATTTATGTTTGTTTGCATGGTGTGAATGTGAAAAGTGCTAATATATTTTAGTTTTAAAATTTATGGCCTCAGAATGAAAAGTCGTGTCATATATCATGCACATTATATATATTAAATTAAAATGAGTTATATGTGCATTGTAATAAAATATCTGTGCAGCAGACCTTGCTCTTGCACAGGAAGCAAAATTGTCCTTTAAATCATAAGGAAATCATAAGGTATACAGGAAAATTACGTGTCGGTAAAATTATCTCATGCATGTTATACTGAGTAAAAAAGATTTCTACATGTAAAATGAATTCAGATAATTCAACGATTAAATCAATTCCAATGAAATATAACGAGTGGATAGCTCACTACATAATTATGTATCAGTAACATGCAAGCAACAATTAGCGGAATCTGTGACTGGCCTCAATCGATTTCTTCACAAGTCTGTTGACACGAATATTCTCCGATGATGGTGAGAAATATTGTGGTAATATTATATTATTTAGACTGGTACATCAAATCTCTATGATGCTGCAGAACAAAGAAAATTAACGTACCTTTGGGCATCAATTTTATGATCTGAAACACTTGGCTTTTCTCCACCATTGGTTTACTGACCAGAAAATCAATGCTCGGAGGGAAGGGTGCTCCATTCATAGTTCTTGATTTGTTTATTTCTAATTCTTTGTATTTCATCAGTATGTCGTTAACTCTCTGTTCTGTCTTGTCTAAAACAATATCATGGCCAATTCTCATGTTAGATTCAGCCAATATCACTTCATTCCGAGCTTTAATGTATCCATTTCTGTCTCGGACACCACGAAATACAGTCTTAAATTCGTACTCATTAGTCAGGTGAAGACGAGAACAACATCCATAACTAAACAGTATGAGTACACATGAAATTCGTGTATCCATAGCTGAAATGAAACTACAACTACAGCTGTCGTTGTTTACACAGGAAATTACGTATTGACCTAAAATTTTAACCTTTGACCCGTGCTGTATAATAAAAGAACCGAGTGAAAAGAAACTAAATCGAACAGATGAAATAGGGAAGGATTTTTTTTACTCTCCACAAGTATGCGAATTCAGTAAAGTACATGTCCTTCTTATCAAATGCCTATGAAGTATCCAAATTCAATATATATATATATATATATATATATATATATATATATATATATATATATATATATATATATATATATATATTCAAAATATTCCTAAATGATCTTTCTACCCTACTTGAAGAAGATAACTCATGTACCAATAATGTTTCTTTATCAGGAAAGAAAATCTCAGCTCTTCTGTATGCTGATGACCTTGCTTTAATATCTGACAACCAAATTGATTTGCAGAACAAACTAAATCTATTGAATAAATACTGTAATAAGTGGTGTCTAGAAGTAAATTGCAACAAAACAAAAATAATCATTTTTAACAATGATACATTCACCAGATTTTATAATAGTATTCAGATTTTAAAATACTCATGGACATGGACAAATGATCCTTCATTTTTTCCATATGTTTAACTCACGCAAATTTATCTTTAAACATATACTCCCCCCCCCCCCCACCCCCCGTGAAATAACAAGAGCTTGGGTATAAATTTGTAAAAAATTAATTCATAATCGCTGTAAAAAGGAAAGGAGGGGGGGGGGAGGGTAAAAATATTTTCCGTTGATAATGAAAAACACAAGTTTTACCAAAATAATAGAGCGTAGGCATAGTTTCCGAATACTTCTGATTGTACTTTCATTAACATTTCTCCATAGCTTTTAAAAAATAGTAAAATGGTGGTTTTTGTATCCAATAGCGCATTTTGCTACATGTATTTTGCGAGATGTTCTGGCAAATATTTTACATACTTGCCCCGTTTAAATTTTTTCGTAGCAATAGATTAAACTTTTCAGCTTCCTCAATACACATGTTTGTAATCCTGGCTAATCTGTAAAGGATTAGGCAACGAGGGAGAATTTGTTAGTTTATCCCAAGTTTTCCATTTTATCCAGTTTGATATAGATTTGTGATGACTGAAAAAATGAATTTAACACGAACAAAGAAACCCGAGTTTCCTGGTGTTTATTCAGAAGTTATTTCTATAAATATAGCAATCTGATTAAAATCAGCTGTTTGTTTGGCTACGTTTACGACGTATTACATAGTACTTTTGATATACTTTTTTCATTGTGACAGTTTTTTCATCTTTTAGTCATAGAGAGAAGGCTAACTGCGTTATTTATACTGTCGCTTTAATAAAAATGCACTTTTCCTTTCAAAGTACACCAAGTACTAGAAAAAAGATATTTTTTTTTCACTTTTAATAATAAATTTGAAGATTAGGAAGATGGTAAGGATAATATTTAATTATCTGATTAATTATTCCTACTACATGTAGGACTGACACAGAATTCGACAGGGATTTCTGATAAAATGGGTGTACGCAATCGGGGCGTTGGGCCAAAGACTATTACTACATGTATATAATGTATCTCCCAAAGCCATGGAAAAATCCTTCTATTACAAGTTTATGGCTCAAAACGTGTCGTACATTAACTCTTCTTTACAAATAATTCATTTTTTAAAAAATAAATCTGTTCCATATACATGATATATCAAAAGAACCAGTTTGTTGTACACTGAGCTCTTGAACGATTTCATTGTAAAACGTCAAATGACGTCATGGTGCATTTGTGTGTTTTACTCGTAAAAGGAAAATCATACAATAAAAATGAAAAATTATACAATACAAATGGAAAATTATACAAAACAAATTGAAAATTATACAATACAAATAAAAATTATACAATACAAATAAGGTCGTGAGTTCGAAAAAAATAAGTAGCATCTGTTCCTATTATACAAATAAAAAGTTATACAATACAAATGAAAAATTCTAGAATACAAATAAAAATTTTACAATGCAAATGAAAAATTATAGAATGCAAATAGAAAATCTTCGAATACAAATGGAAAATTATTCAATACAAATGACAAAGATCGAATATTGCAACGTTTGACATGCTATATTTTTTTCATTTTCACAGAACTACATGTACTACTAAAATTAACACCACCATATGACCATAACTGAAATCAAGATGATCAAACACCCCAAATAATGCATCTTTTTCACTGTCAAAACGTGAAATGCACAGTTAATTTTTCATATATATGTAGATATAACTATAAGGCAAATCGATCTCCTACCACCTGAAAGAAAAGTATTACCCCCCCCCCCCCCCCCCCCCAAAAAAAAAAGAAAATCACATTTCTGATCAAGTCTGCTAAAGGTTTCTTTTATGATAAATTTTAAAAAGAGAAATTGTGAGCATCCAACATTTTAAAAATAAGGGCAATATTGCTAAAATGAAAAAGAAGCTTTTAATTGTCATTTTCTAAAGTTTGAATTTACTGGGTGGGAGTAAATACAAAATTTAGAACAATTCATTTACTCTCACCCGGTAAATTTAAACTTTAGAACATGACTTAACAGTAGTTTGTAGTATATGTATAGGGCATCATGTTGAAAGGAAACAAATGTGTTTGCAGGTAAGATTCTAAATCCTCAGACCATCACATGTACATATCTTATTACATATACAAGTCTTTACAGTCAGACCCATACATTTTCAATTATTCGGTGTTATTTACATATTTTGATTTCAATCATATAAATAGAAAATACACCTGATGATTTAAATTGTAGATGAATTTTATGTTAATTACAGGCATGTAAAAAGTTGCATCAAAGTACAAATTGCCACTTGTATTAAACACAAGAAATAATAAGTGAAAAATTAAACAAAGTTATTTTCACATAAAAATTTTAGAAAAGAAATAAAGATGATTCCGACAACCACATTTATTAATAATTCTCAATATGTCTTATGTAGATGTAGGTAATAGAAGTACTAGTAATATTACACAAACTTAATAAACTACTACAGAGTGAAGATGGACTCACAAAAACTAGTAAAAATGTTTTTAGTGGCTAGATTTAACAATGACATCAACAGTTGTGAAGCAGAAGCAATCCAGTCATTTTAACTAGGCAGTTATAATAGCATAACGTCTCTCTCTCTCTCTCTATATATATATCTATATGAGAGAGAGAGAGAGAGAGAGAGAGAGAGAGAGAGAGAAACACATATACATATATATTATCATTAGAAAAAAAAGTTTTTTAAAAACCTCAATTTTTCCCCTATACAGAAAAAATATACATTGTATTAATTATAGAAAATGAGAAATGATATATAGAACAAAACCATTGAAAATGTGATTTAAAGAAAACTAAAATGAAATAAATGAAATTGGATAAAAGACTACTCAAAAATCACTAAAAATTCACAGTTCTATAAGTGTAAAAAATAAATTTTGGAATGCATGTCCTTACATAATACAAAAATACCTTTTGTATCTGATTAGATAAAGCCGTGATAAGTTGTGATGATAAAAGATCCTTGAAAAAAATTAAATACAATTCAATCTCTCCTACTGAGATACTAGTACTGTAATCCTCAACAAAGAAATCAATGGTTTCACCTTGTTGCTTTTATCTAAATGTTTGTTTCAAAACTTAAGAGAAAAAAAATCTAAATGAATATCAACCAGACCCGCATTGGAAGCGATTTTTAAGTTGGGTGGGGGACACTACCAAACACTTTCATTTTGGGTGGGCACTACCAAGCAAAATTCCTTGACAAGCAAAATATATATATATATATATATATATATATATATATATATATATATATATATATATATATATTATTCCTTGTCATATATAAGTTATATACACCAAATTATTCATTTTACCAACAGTGAATTAATTCAGCAAAACCAGATTCAGTTCTCTATAAAACAGGAGAAAAACATCATATTGTTATGAATATGCTTCACAGTGTCATAATAAACAAAATTGATGACAGTACTAGAAAAGAATACCGGCCTCATCATGTAAAACACCAATAAATATAACTAACAATACACAATAACATCATAAAACTGTCATACACATAACACAAAAACAAACATAATTATCCAAATTAAGAAACATTAAAATACAGATTAGACATATAAATTAATGGATTTTGAATTAAAAGAACCAGCACAACATATATGTATAAATTAAAATGGAAAAGAACTCCATTATATGTTGTGAAAATCACAACACTGTCAATATATATACTAGTATATAGTGAAAAAAACCAACATACATTATACAGAAACTGAATACTGTAACAACATCATAAAAATACTGAAGGTATAAAATTATGAATTGTATAAGCATTCTTACGAATTTTGCTTTTGCTGAAATATATATATATATATATATATATATATATATATATATATATATATATATATATATATATATATATATATATCTTTAGTGGTGTCAGTATCAAAAATAAAATGTCTATTATGAAATTGGTACACATAAAATTCTTCGGTCTTTTTCTGTTTTAGAATACATGTACTGCATGATTTTTGAGGCAAAAATCCCATTTTGTACATCACAATTGATAAGTATGGCTGATACAACTCATACAATAATACTTGTGATTTTGAATTCATAGGAAGACTATCCATTTAATTCACTCACAACAAATACTATAAAAATATTCTAATTAACATTGTAAAACTTTTAAAACAAATCATTAAATAGATGGAGACAAACAATATATACATATCAAATGTCTCGCTCAATGTGACCTAAAAATAATTTAACCAAAAGGATTTAATGGGAAGCTCCCTGACTGGTTTACCTGATGCAACATTCGTTGTATGAAGGCATCCCATTTTTGTCGCCACAAATTCAAAGCCTTACTTTTCTCAATTGGGGTCATAGCACTATATCTGTAGCAGAAACAGAATACATTTATAACTTTCTCAGTACATTATTACAGATTTTAATGAGAGTAATTTATTTGTTACATTTATAGGGTTTTCAATATT